TCAAAACTCAACACCACATGCTTTTCTGGATGGCCGTGCTGTAAATACTGCATGGTTTTCATTTTTTATCTGTAGTAATGGGACCAGTGTTAGGAAGACACATAATATGGCGAAAATAGTTTGAATGGACATTTGCCATCCTGAAAACAAATCACTTGAAAGTGCCCCAAATGTGTGATCAAACCCCTTTCATTGTACTTAAAATAGTACAATTTTCTTCACTTTTATGCTCTGGTATAAGTGAATTAATAGAATAATTCCTGTAATATGTACTTTACTTGGACGTATCTTTTAACTAGACCACTGAGGTGTTGTCCCATTATTTGAATCTTTGCTGCTTTTATTTGTCCTATCTCTTATACCTCACTTTTGTTTCTGTCAAATAATCTAACGTTTTTCTCTTTTCCTTGCAAGTGCGTTTGACTTCAGTTTGCAAACCATTTTCAAAGCTTGCAAGATTCAAAAAAAGGATTTCAAACAAGTGTCCGTATATGCAGACACTGAGAGGTTTGGGGAACACTGTCTAAAATTGCTTCTGCCAATTTCCATATTTTCTTGCCTACACTGCAGTCATTTCTCTGACAGTCCCTGTAGCAGTTTCCCCCATTCCCCATTTCCATGTGTAACAGGTTCTCTGAATTCCCAGCTTTCATTTTTTAAAACAGTAAGTCTCTAGCCTCTACATGGGAAAGATATAAGGGCAAAAGCATATTTCTGCAACAAAAAGGGCTATAGGCTTAAGTTTTTAAAAAAATGAAACCTGGGAATTCAGAGAACCTCTTACATATATTACTATAAAGTTATATTGATATAATTATGTATTATGTATTGATATAATGATGTTCAATTGCCAATTTTTCTAAAACCATTGAAAAAGCCCCTGTGACTTCTGGGGGGATGGCTACTACTGGGCCAGGGAATAGTGGGGAAATCTGCCATGTAGAATGCCCATTGCTGCTGCACTGTACTGGAAGCCACACCATCAACAGAGAAACCACACAAGCCTGTCTCTGTGTGGAAATTACACAAAGCACTAAGAAGTGCCACTGTATCTACAGTGGCTTTTGCCCACCTACTGAGGCAGGAAAGTAGAAAGTGACATACATAGTAAGGAGGGAAGATGTGAAGGCCTGACTAAGTTGTAGCCATATCCAGAGGCCCTCCTTTTACTCCTGGGAGTTCTACAATCCCCCGCCCACACACACCTGTGCCATACCTCAGGTTGCCTACCCATGTACAAGCCATGCACATGTGGCTGCATTCTCCTCAAAGCAGTTCTCAAATGTAAATACTCTTTTATCTGCACTAAGCAATTCTGTGGTGACACTATGTTTATGGTATCCCCTCCCCTCCATGGAAATGCTCATATAGCTATGTCCCTGTTAGATTTGCAGCTTTTAAAAAGGAAGCAGTATCAAATTTTATGCACCAGGTTTATAAAGTCCTGAAAAAAAAACAGATCTTTCAGTGCTTGTCCCAAATCTCTACACACCTGGAACTTTTCCAGCCATGTGTTACAATTCAGTTTACACTCTTTTATTTCAACTGGAACTTTTTACTAGCAGTAAAAGTTGAACATAATTTTTTGTAAGGACTGCAGGTAACTGTGGGGACTAAAGACGGGAGATGGAACAGGTTTAAGCAGTAAGGCCTGTAGAGATTTCACTTTGGCACCATTCTTGGATGCTCAGACTGCCTAGTTTGGCTGTTGGCTTGATGACAGAATAGCCTCTGATGTGAGACTGTCCCAGACTGTGATGTGTTTAAAAATATCCGAAGCAAGTATGTTAATAACACTTGCATTTAATTTACAGATGTGAAAATATTGTGCGTTAAACTGGGTGGGACATAAACTTAATGTAAAATGACAGCCAGAAGAGAAAGTAGCCCAAAGGCATGCAAGAAGCGGAATCTGACTAGCCTTCATGCCTCTTAGGTCTGACTATTTGAACTGAAGTATGAGGAAGAGAAAGATGGGGGGGGGGCACGGATGTGAACAAGGTCACCATTATGGTCAGTGGTAGCACAACTCTATCCCCATCAAAACAGCTGTATTATACTGCAGATCAGACACAGCAAAAAATCTATTATTCAAAAGAAAACAAAAGTGCAAAAGAAAACACTGGGAACCCCCAAGGTGCCAAATTAAAAGCCGTCAGGGATATGAACTCCCGGTTTGTCTGTTCTAATTAAACCCCACATTAGAATCATCAGCCTGGCTCTAGATTCACGGCTTTCAACTGCCAACTGTTTATTCTGATCCAGGGAAATCAGCAGCCTCTGCTTTTCTTACAGCTCGCATCACAGAATAATCACACAATGCTCTGAGAAAAGGCCACCGAGGATGGCAGTAATTTTTCAGCTGTACAGTAATGTTTAATTGCATAATGGAGTTTTGATTACAGTATGTTGTTATGTTCTTATGATGGAAGTACTGCTGCTGCTACTGAGGCCCACAAGGAGACAGTGCGTGTGTGAAGATGATAGTTCATCTGCATTTTTATATCTTATTTTTGTACATGCTACAAAAATAAAACATGAAAAGTTATAGTGCTGAGTGAACCAAATAATTTAAATGGAGGTTCTGATCTGTGTATTTCTGGATCTCCCACATTCTAGACAGCATGCTGTGATTCCAGCTGGTACAGATGGCACTTGGGCTTCTCCATTTTGGGGTCAATTCTGCTCTTCATGATTTTCATGTTTGCACTATCTCACCCCCCAAAGTAAGGTAGGGGATTCTCATTTCTCTGCAAGAGCTTCAACATGTGTTTTCATAACCACAAATGGCATCTGTTTGCTTCTTTCCCTCTGCAGAGGTGAGATACATGAATAAGTTCAAACAGTCACTGTGAGTGTTCTGCATCTCATGTTGTCTGCATGTGTATATACATACACATACATACACACAATAACAGAGGGCTTTTATTACTTATTTTCTCAGGTGGGGTAGCCGTGTTGGTCTGAAGTAGCAGAACAAAATTTGAATCCAGTGGGACCTTTAAGACCAACAATATTTTATTTCATACTATAAGCTTTCATGTGCAAGCACACGGTATCTGATGAAGTATGTTTGCACATGGAAACTTATACCGTAAATAAAACTTTGTTTTTCTTAAAGATGCCACTGGACTTGAACTTTGTTCTGTTTATTTACTCACACAGCACAGTCTGTGTACATGGAACATTACACAGTACTCCAAGCATCATCATCATCATCATCATCATCATCATCATCATCATCATCATCATCATCATCATCATCATCAT